AATTTTTTCACAGGGGGGCGGAACTTTTTACAGGGGGGGCAAAGCCCCCCCTGCACCCCTCCTATTTACGGGCCTGTTTGCCCCACATTTGCGTTCACACGCTTAAGTTAAACTGGTTTAACGATCCTCGGGGTTTTTAAACCAGTTCAACTTAAGCGTCTGAACGGGCTAAATGAATGCAGACTCATTTTGGCTGAACAGGGAGTATCTTTTCAATTTAATTTAATAAGGGGAAAACTTATTTTGTCTGCTTAGAAAGTTGAAGTAAAGTAATGTTGTTACACTATCACTGAACACTTGAAAACTACAGGCCGCAATTCTTAACGCATGGTCTTGAAACTTTGCATACTTATTCCTTACACCCTAAGGATGTTTTCTGTTGTTTTTGATGCTTGCCCAACCTGGATCAGAGTCACAAAGTTAGTGAGTTCTACTCCTATTAAAAATGTGAGTTTAAAGCATCAGAAAACCTGAAAAAATTTACTGAATTTATGATCCGTTTCAGTACCCGGAATTCAAATGGCCATATCTCAGCGAGTTTCCAACCTAGAGAGGTAAAATTTCAGATTTCTTAGTTTAAGGCAATATACTATAACATATATCTTTTATATTTTTTTTTTTTATGGGGGGGGGGGGCATGTTTCCACCATTGGTCCAGTTGATATGGAATGACCCATAAGTGATTGCCATGCAAAATATGCCCACAATTTGCAAGAGAACAAGCTAAAACAATGATTTTTCATACTATCACAGGGGCATAATCCAGGAAGTTACATGCGTCAATATCAAAAGGAATATCTTTACGATGTAAAGGTATATTTTAAGTTTCATTTATAAAGATACATTAGTTAAACATACATTATGCAAGAGCTAAATCTGCCTACTGCAGGTCTTTCTTTAAGCCTGAAATGTTATATAAACTATTAATTAGACATTAATTAACTTATCCACACCATAATCAACTCTCGATGGCATCGGATACTCGAGATTTTAACTAGATTAAAACGGTTCGCCATTTAAAAATTTAATTTAAAAATGGGAAAGCGAGTCTAAATCCCGATTATACCAGTGCCCTGGTTACCACTGTGCACACATCTTGTCAAAACTACAAACAATGATAACTTGGCTGAGAATGAAGTAATTTGAATGAAATTTTCAATATTTTCTTTTTTTATCATCTATTTTTGAATAATAAAAGCAAGAATGACCAACTCTTTATTAAACTCTTAACTAATGTATATTTAATAGAGTAATAAAGAGTTGACCATTCTTGGTAAAGTAATTCAAAGCTAGATGATGAAAAAAAGAAAATATTGAAAATTTCAGTTAAATGACTTTATTTTGAACGGAGTTGTCACTGTTGGAAGTTTGGACTAAAAATAGACATCAACTGTCTCTGCACTGTCTCTGAGAATTGCCGATTACTTGAATGACAGACGATAACTCCACCCACATATTCTTGATTAGATACTAGTTCCTGTATTGCAGCTGTTCGTCGTTTCATTGCTCGTAGAGGCTACCCTAAAGATGTGTACTCCGACAACGGAAATGAAATGAAATGAAATGGAGTTTAACGTCCTACTGTTCTGCTCCTAACCTGGGCTAATGAAGACGGGCATACGCCATACAGTGTGCTATGAGGGAAATTTTGCCCGGACAGCGGCACTACGGCCTACTCTTATATCGAATTCCAACTGCCAAGGGATCTTTTACGTTGGAATTCGATAAAAGAGTAGGCCGTAGTGCCGCTGTCCGGGCAAAATTTCCCTCATAGCACACTGTATGGCGTATGCCCCTCTTCATTAGCCCAGGTTAGGAGCAGAACAGTAGGACGTTAAACTCCATTTCATTTCATTTCTTAAGTAAGAGTTAAATTACATACTTTAGTTAGTTAGTTAATCTTACATAAATGTGTATTGTATAATTTTGGACATTTTGTTTAAAGGTATCTCATTTGTTCATTCGATAGGGGCCGGTACATGGGCTCTAATTTCAATGTTTATTATAATATCATCACATACGGTTACAATGTATCTTTCATTATCTGCAATGAATAACATTCACCTGTATACAGGTAATTATGTATAACAAGTATGACTATGATAGGTAGCTAGGTATAATATCTATTATTAGCCTATTACAGGTTTTATCTCTATGTGTATATAGAATATATAGATGGATAGTATACAATTTTTGATATGGTAATATAGTATCATACTTAGGAGAATAAACCCCATTTCAATACTTGTTGCATCTTTTTAAGGATATCCTATGAGTAATTTTGCTGTACTGCAGTCGTATTCTAAGAGTAAATTCCTTATAGGATTAACTAAATTTCACCATTAAAATTAAACATCAAATTAGTTTAATATCAGTTTTTGGTTGATGTGGGAAATTTTTTTTTTTAGGATTTGTTTGGTTGAAAATGGTCTAGTTCATACTCTAGGATTTGATTTATTGAGGGGTGGGGGGGGGATGGACTCATCCCATGTATTGATCCTTCTTGGTTTTATTTTAGTGAAACTGGTAAAGATAGTCTACTTATTAACACACACTCCAGTGAGATTCGTTGATGGAAGGCAGAAGGAGATGGAATCTAGTTAAAATGATATACATAAATTTGTAAGTTATACTATTTTTATTTAATATTATAATCTACTCTAAACTGAGTTATTTTACTCAACTTTAAATTAGAGTTTTAGTCTTATACCATTTTAGATGGCTCAGATAAATTTTTGAGATATGCCTTAAAGCGGCGTTTAAATGATAAAACCGCCAGATACAACGGTCGTGTCCAACCGACTCATCAGACAAATGGTCGGACGGCCAGCTTGTTGTATGGATAGGACCAACTCTATTCTAATCCGATGGACTGATGCAATACCCAATTAAATTGCATCATATCTGACTTGTGAACCCTTTAGAGTCAGAATTTTTATTCGATTTAAGGATGGTTGGGTTTGGTGTTTGTGACAATCAGACCAAAACGCCTGACAATAAGGCCGCTCCTTTTACGCAAAAACATTTAAAATATAAAATATCAAGGTTGTGGAACCTCTAGCGGTCATAATATTGATGTAACTTAAAATGTATGTTTATATCCCAAACATCTTGCTTCCTGTCAATATACACACATATCGGACCGTAACTTCCTGGATTATGGCTCCTGATTGTAAGAAAAGTTGCTTTTTTTGTCCTAGCATGTTCTCTGTCCATCTCCTGCAAAATGTGGGCTTATCTTGCATGGCAACTGTTTGTTTTATAGTAATTTCAATCTAAATGACTTCAAGGGTATCGCGTTCAAAATCAGTTTTTCTTTTACAATAAATAGATTCTCTTACATAACTTGTGATATGATATGACATGTGAACATGATAGAGATTAGATTTCTTCAAGAATTCTGGATCTTTATTAAATTCGATGAATATCTTAAGTTTCCTTTTAGATAAGCTTTTGAGAGTTAAGACATAGACTCTGTGTGAGCATATTTCCATGCTTTGTGTATGGCTATTTTTAGATATATTTAATGTTATTGTGAAATGAAATGTCCTACTGTGCTAATGAAGACGAGCATACGTCATACAGTGTGCTATGAGGGAAGTTTTCCCCGGCAGAGGCACTGTGGTCTACTCTTATATCGAATTCCAACTCCCAAGTGATCTTTTACGAACATGCCAATGTACACACAGGACTTTGGTTTTTCATCCCAGTCAAACGTCTAGACAGCTGTCCTTGTCAGGCGCTCTGTCCTGCACCACTGACAAGTGGGGAACCACGTCAGAAAATCCTGATGAACTTTGTGATTGCCTTTTATAAAATGGGGGACATAAATCATAATTTGTGTTGAAATAAATGCTTTTATCACAAACATTGAAGAATCTTAACCATCAATTAATTAGTCACCTAACAGTTTCACTTTGTGCCGTGGAAATACGTTTTTAAAATTATGTGGTCCGGTTCAAATTTAACTTTAATGTGGGTTTTGAAAATTCCAATGACAACAAAAGTGGACATAACAAATATCTGTCAAGTCAAAAACATTTATAGGCATTAGATTTTAGAATAAGTCCAGGCCCTACGACAAAACATTTATAGGCATTAGGTTTAAGAATAGGTCCAAGCCTTACCACAAAAACATTTATAGGCAATAGATTTTAGAAAAGATCTAGGCCTTACCACAAAGAGAAACAGTTGTTAATTGAACACTCATTATCAAAATTGAATGGTCAATTGAATGAGCTTCTGATATCCGATATTTAAGATAAAATAATTTTTTTAACATTGGTACACGAATCGTGTACCATAATGCGCTTCAGCCCCAGTTGTATTGAGAGACTCGAGGGACGAGGCTAGACACATTGCACCAAATCAAATGGAGTTATGTAGACTAGAATAACTAGACGCTAGAAATTTGCACTCGATTGAGATTGCTGACTTATTTCGCCGAACATAACTGATTTGAAATTATTACAGTATTATATGTGTTGCGACCCACTTTTGTGAATTTCTAGGTCCCAAATGTTAGCGATTTAGCTCCTTTAAACTGGACACAAGTAAAATTAGATGATTTTTGGTGATTTTAAATGGTTTTTACGACATTTTCAATTAGATTTGATATTGAATAAATATTAAGGAAATTAATGCTAAATACACAAGATTAAATACTACCGTGGTTACAGTGTATAATATCACCAAGACAACCACTAAAGTATAATCTTCGCATATCATATCATTTTTAGATACATGATATTCAGTGATTGTCTGGTGTTTTATCAATTTGAATCAAGTTGACATGGTATAGGCCTATAGACGCAAACAACTAAAATATGTTAACTATGTAAAATATTTACATATATTATTTTAGATACCGGATATTTATTGATGGTCTTCCCATACATGTATCTTGCACAGTCGTCAATAGAATATAGATCCTAATCTATTTTGTAGTCTCTCTCCCTCCTTTCCTTTTCTTCCTCTTTTGTATAGCCATTTTTATTGTTTTATTGATCGAGAATCATAGAAGGGGGTTTGAATTGACATTTTCTACTAGGTATTAGGCGGATGTTCACAGAGTAGATCGGTTCGGTAATAACTACTGAGTACTCTTGCCGAGCTCTTCAGTTAAAACTTGTCTTCCGTAGGTACAGGTAAGTTGCTTTGTTTTTTTGTAAATTAAAGATGAATATTAAGGACTACATGTATGTTTATTTGGATTATTTGTAAATTTAAGATGAACATTAAAGCTCTAACTGGTTTCTATAAAGTGAAAAGATAAGACGTAAATAATAGGTATTAACTGACCCATCCCCACCTTGTAAATTAATATGTGTAAGAATAAATTCTTGGTCTAGGTGATCTGGAGTGAATCTGAGTGCATTTTTGTGTGAATTTCTATTCATTTTATTACATATTATAATATGTCAATTTTATATTTTGTTATGTCACGATTATAGTCTGTATTACGAGCACACAAGCCATGACAATGCTATTTTTATTCTATTTATTGTAATTGGTACATATGCCAGATCAAATTTCTTCGTGTAAAAAAGTAAAAGGATAGATTTTGTGTGATTTTATGTGAAAAGTGATTATATGGAATAACAATCTGTAGATAAAGCTAGTAGTGTAGGTATTTCAAACATCCTATGACCGTATATGGTCATTAGGTCAAACATCCTATGATCATATATGGTCATTAGGTCTAACATCCTATGACCATATATGGTCATTAGGTCACCTCAACTTGTTTTTCTGTTCTTCTGGATCACCTGTGAATACTTGGCTTCTTATTTCTTCAGGAAAATCGTTAATTTAAAAAAAAGAATTACTATGCTGCTTTCATGTGATTCAGGTTGCTATTTATTTGTCAGAACTCCGAAAAACTGAACATTCAGTTGTGACCTTAATTTACTTTACGGTGACATGATGACAGAAAATTATGTTTTGTCACCATGGGCGTCACACATGGGGGTGTCCGACCCCCCCAATTGTTTTTCTAGGGGGGTCTGAATATACTTGGACCCCCCAAAAAAATTTACATAGTAGGCCCAAACTCCTATTTATTTACAACAATTATTAGGATTAGTTAAGATTCTATTTGTATAAAACCTGTACATATAATAATATGGTTTACATTGCTAAAATAAAACACAGAGAGAATCATCCTGGAAACATGTGTGAAGTGAAAAGTACCTGTGTTCCATAAAATTGTGTCTAGTTAGCCTGTCAGTAATGTTTTGTTAATTTTTTTCTGCCACTTATCAGAGTGAATCGCATGTAGGTACCCAAAAACATAACTGCCTAAACCAAATATTTATCGCCCGCTCAGCCAGCAACGTAACCATAATGCTTTTGCACGCGGTGTCTTGGTAGACAGCATGGCCACATGATGTTTGTTTATATTTTTAGGGGTTTTAAAAAATGGGTTAGGGTTAGGGTTGCGGACCCTCCCCCCCCCCCCAATATATATTTTAATAACTCACAGGAAATTATAATATAATGTAATAATGATAATGCAATAGAAATAGACCAGAACACAAAAATACGACATTGGGAACGACTATTATGAATATAAAGGAGCTAAATCGCTAATATTTGGGACCTAGAAATTGACATGAGTGGATCGCAATGCATATAATAATGTAATATGAATGTATATAAACTGATTTAAATTCAATCGTTTCTGTTTTTACTGTAACATCTAGTCAGTTATGTATATGTGCTGCAAAATAGTGTCTGGTTATTCCAGTCTACATTGATAGTATTTATTGTGCATGCTCTCCAGATAAGAATGGTGTTACCGTTTGACATGACTTGTGGAATACGTCTACCCTTGTTCTTTGAGTCCCTTGTTACAAATGGCGCTGAAACACATTATGGTACACAATTCTTGGTGCTGAAATGCATTATAGTATTTATTGTGCATGCTCTCCAGATAAGAATGGCGTCACTGTTTGACATGACTTGTGAAATATGTCTAGCCTTGTTCTTCGAGTCCCTTGTTGCAAATGGTGCTGAAACGCATGGTAAAATGTTTATTTTGTCTTAAATATTGGATATGAGAAGCCCATCTTTTCCCGGTAAGGTCACTGTTGACTTAAATTGACAAATAATTTGTGTTTTCAATGTCGAAGACTTTGGATGATATTGAGTTAGAGACGTAGCTACTTTAAATACTGAATACATATTTTTCTGATAAAGATGGGGTACAGTAGGCCCTATAAACTGATTGTGAACGCCACGGGAGGAGAGACTGACTAGACCTCACGAGATGGAAACAATCAAGCTGATGACATGACCATGAGGTAGTACCTGTGGTTGAGGAAGGCACCAGACAACGGCACTTAGCAGAGCCAATGAAATGAAATTATATCGAATTCCAACTGTCAAGGGATCTTTTACGTGCACGCCAATGTGTACACAGGACCTCGGTTTTTTGTCCCATCCAAACTACTAGACAGCTGTCCTTGTCAGGCCCTCCGTCCTGCAGTGGGAACCATGCCGGAAAATCTGGATGACCTTTCTCAGCCAATGCAGGGATCGAACTCCCGACCTCCAGGCTAGCGAGCCAGCATCTCACCCACTTAGCCACCGTGACCCTCAGATTTCTCAACAATACCAACGTGTGACTGAGAATGGTCTAATATGTGTGCTTTAGATCATAAGATCTGTCATTGGGTCAAGTGGCGTGGTTTCGATTCCCCGGATGTACGTGACAAGGAGTAGGGTCACCTGTCCAATCACATAGGTTTTCTCCTGATCCTCAGGTTTCATTCCACAGTTAAGACCCCTACGTACAATTCATCTTTCAGGTAAACAATTTCTACCTGAGTCATGGCACTGGATGAAATATCCGACTCAGAATTAGATTTAGGGAGTATGATCAATTTTGAACAAACGATTACATCAGCTAAAAAATCTGTTCACTTATCGCCCTTGATCACATGTAAAGCTCTTATGTTGATGAGGATTGTATATTCTTACCTTTGCGTGGATATTTTTCTAGGTAAACCAGCACAGGATGACAAAGGTTGTACACAAACAAGAATTAAAATCAGCCATGTCCAAAAAAAGTGAGAATAAAACCAAAAAAGCAATTCCAGCCAAGAAACTAAAAATGAGTAAGTTTGAATATTGTGGTAATTTTCACAGATTCCCCCTCTCTCCCTTCTACTTATTTTCTTTCTACCTACGCCCATTTTCCAAAATGCACAATAAAATGTAAATTTACCAACTTGAAAGTGAGCTTAAGAAGAAAATATAACTTACTCTGCTTGATTCTCAATATGGTATTCAAAAAGGACATACATTTAGGATGAATCCTATTGATTTTGGTGTGAAGCATTGGGGTCATAAGAGGATGAATCCTAATGATATACAGCATTCTGCAACTTTCCGTTCTGGAATTGTCCCCCCTTTGCCAAAAACCTTGTGGACATAATAGAGGCTGTAGTTTTGAACTGCCTTTACGGCTGGTGGGCATATTGTATTTATTGAAAGTCATATATAATATCATTTATTATTAACTTTTACAGGTTTTTTTACAAAGTTTCTGGTACTGATTTTTGGGATGATAATCTTCAGCAAATTGATATCTCCTGTCCGGGCCTCAGATAGGCCTCCTGTCCGTGCTGCAGATAGGCCTCCTGTCCGTGCCTCAGATAGGCCTCCTCTCCTTGGTTCAGATACATGTGGTAAGTTAATTTGATTATGTGACGAGAAGTATATCTTGAAACATGAGACACGCCACAGAACAGAACAATGTAGGCACTAAATGAACAATCATAACCGTACCATATTTTTTCAATAAATTGATTAACCAAAAGTTTACTTTACCAAGGGGGAAATAAACGTATAACTTTTGATTAGATATTTTGTGACATTGTCCCTGTCAATTCCACTGTCAGTCCGTAAGCTGTTTTGAGTAATGCATATATTATATATATATAAATTTATCGAATATTTTTTGAATGTCTGGTAAAAAGTTTATTGGCATGGGAAGTGATTTCAATGACAGATTAGCTAGGTCTCTTGAGAAACTGGTCATAAGTGCATCATCGTAGGTCTAGTTATTATTGTGATTCTTACAGAAATCACAGGTATAGTTATTGTCCCCCGCCTTTTGAAGAAAGCAGAGGACTATTAAAATGGGTTCATCTGTCTGTCTGTTCGTCCGTCTGTCTGCCCGTCACACTTTATGGGACACAATAACTCTCTTTCTAATTGAGCTAGAATGTTCAAACTTGGTGTAGGTGTTTATTAGGCCAATGCCTTGATGGGGGTCGAAGTTGAGCATTTTCGGCTTGGGTAAGCAGAGATAAGCAATTTGATAACTTTAGTTCTAATTAAGTGAAAGTGAGGGCACTTGGTGTATAGCTTTATTATATCAATGCCTTGACTAAGTTTGATAATGAACATTTTTTGCTGAGGGTAATCAGAGTGATAAGCAATTTGATTGGTTGAGACTTTGGAACACAATAACTCTCCTTCTAATTGAGGTAGAATGTTCAAACTTGGCGTAGGTGTCTATTAGGTGAATGTTTAAACTTGATGTAGATGTTCATTAGGTGAATGTCTTGACTGAGTTCAATGATTAACATTTTAAGCTGAAGCTACGCAGAGCTAATTGATTTCATTTGTCAATGGTTTAGGACAAGATAATCTTGATTCTATTTGATAGAGAGTGATGAAACTTAGTGAAAAAATTAAATGTGCTATTAATTAATATGTTTCATCTATTTATTTTGCAATTTCGGCGGGGGACATCAGCCTCACTGTTGGCTTGTTGTTATTATAAAAGAAATAAATTATGATTTTTACAGATTATGATTGGTCAAACAATCCAAAAAACAATAAGGTGACACCAGGTGATAACCAGACGTTTAGGATTTCGTTCAAATGCCAGTCAAGTGTGATAAATATACAGGTTGTGTTTTATACGGACAGGAGCTCAACTGTAAGTATCCTAGATCAAAAAATATATTCTGTTTCCGTTAACCGGACCCACCCATCAAAAAAACCTGCCAACTATTAAATTTTTATACGTTTATTGTTATTTTCACTGTTCGTTTAACGTGATTCATGGGGTGCCCAGATAATTAACTGTTAAATCACAGGATTAGTGGAGGTGTCACAAAGGGATGGTATCAACAATGACTGTTGAATGGGTGATGTTTTGTTAAATTATAACTAAAACAGTGACTAAAGAGATGAAACCAAAGAATTTCTACGGGATGGGGTATTGTGAGTGACTGCTTGTACAAATACTACTGTACGTATTATGCTTTCTGTGAACCTATCTAATTACAGTCCACTATTAGAGGTCCAGCAGGTAATTTTATTCATCACACCTGCACAGTTTACCTGTTGTAATGGGCATTTATTTGTTTTTTTGTTGTGGTTACAGTTTTCAAATTCTTCTCTCCTGCCTTTTAGAGAAAACTGAGTAAAGATGCATTATGTAACAGCTAAATCTGCCTATTGCAGGTCTTTCTTTGCGCCTCAAATGTTATATAAATCATTAAACATACATTATGCAAGAGCTAAATCTTGCTATTGCAAGTCTTTTTTTTTTGGCCTCAAATGCTATATAAATTATTAATTAGTATTTGATAACATGACAAGACCATGACCAACTTTCTAGATGGATTGAAACAAGATTGTCATTTAATAATTGAATTAAACGATGGATAGTCGAGACTATGTTTACTATTTTAACAAAGGTAGCAATGACAATCAAGACTCCACTATTCTCCAAACAGCTTTAAGTGATTTGACTGAAAATTTCAATATAATCATTTTTATACCCCACATTTTCATGTGGACGTATATTGTCGTCGCCCCTGTCTATTTGTGGACTATCTACAGGTCACAATTCTTATCTGATTTTGACGAAACTTAAGATATAGGTTTATCTCCAAAAGATCTCGGCTGCTTTCGAAACTTCATGAATTATGGCCCCTGATTGTACGAAAAATCACGTTTTTAGCTTGTGGACCGTATAGAGGTCACAATTTTAATTCTATTTTGATGAAACTTGAAATGTAAGTTTATAACCCAAAGATCTCGGTTCCTTTCGGTATTTGCACATATCAGACTGTAACTTCCTGAATTATGGCCCCTGATTGTACGAAAAATTGCGTTTTTAGCTTGTGGATGCTATAGAGGTCATAATTTTTATCCGATTTAAAAAAATGTTTAAGTATATCACCGTTACACCCTAAGTATGGCTGAGTTCGAATTTCAGGAAAATCGGCCCAAAACTGACAGACAAAATGTCCACCCTTTTTTCTCAAAAAGCGTAAAAATATTGTATATCAAGGTTGTGGACCCTATAGAGGTCACAATTTTTCTCCCATTTTGTTGAAACTTGAAATGTAAGATTATAACCCAAAAATCTTGGTTTCTTTCGATATTTGCGCATATTGGACTGTAACTACCTTAATTATTGCGCCTGATTGTACGAAAAATTGCGTTTTTAGCTTGTGGACCCTATAGAGGTCATAATTTAAAAAAAGATGGCTGAGTTCGTATTTCGTGAAAATCAGCCCAACACTGACAGACAAATTGGCGGTCCTTCGTTCTCAAATAGCGTAAAAAATATGGTATATCAAGGTTGTGGACCCTATAGAGGTCACAATTTTTATCTGATTTTCCGATTTTGTTGAAACTCGAAATGTAAGTTTATAACCCAAAGATCTCGGTTCCTTTCGATATTCGCGCATATTGAACCTTAACTTCCTGAATTATGGCCCCTGATTGTACGAAAAATCATGTTTTTAGCTTGTGGACCCTATAGGATTATACTTTTTATCCGATTTAAAAAAAGGTTTGAGTATATCACCGTTACACCCTAAGGATGGTTGAGTTCGAATTTCGTGAAAATCGGCCTAAAGCTGACAGACAAAATGGCCGTCCCTCGTTCTCAAATAGTGTAAAAATATGGTATATCAAGGTTGTGGACCCTCTAAAGGTCACAATTTTCTTCTGATGAAACTTGAAATGTAAGTTTATAACCCAAAGATCCTGGTTCCTTTCGATATTCGCGCATATCGGATAGTAACTTCCTGAATTATGGCCCCTGATTGTACGAAAAATCATGTTTTTAGCTTGTGGACCCTATAGAGGTCATACTTTTTATCCGATTTAAAAAAAGGTTTGAGTATATCACCGTTACACCCTAAGGATGGTTGAGTTCGAATTTCGTGAAAATCGGCCTAAAGCTGACAGACAAAATGGCCGTCCCTCGTTCTCAAATAGTGTAAAAATATGGTATATCAAGGTTGTGGACCCTCTAAAGGTCACAATTTTCTTCTGATGAAACTTGAAATGTAAGTTTATAACCCAAAGATCTTGGTTCCTTTCGATATTCGCGCATATCGGATAGTAAGTTTCTGAATTATGGCCCCTGATTGTACGAAAAATGGCGTTCTTAGCTTGAGGTCCCTCTACATTTTTGTAGATGTCACAATTATTATTCGATTTAAAAAAACGTTCAAATATATCACTGTTACACCGTAATTTTGGTTGAGTTCAAATATCGTGAAAATAGGACCAAAACTGCCAAACAAAATGGCTGCCCCCCGTACACAATTAGCGTAAAAATATGGTATATCAATGTTGTGGAGCCTCTAGAGGTCACAATTTTCTTCTGATTTTGATGAAACTTGAAATGTAAGTTTATAACACAAAGATCTTGGTTCCTTTCGATATCCGCGCATATCAGATCGTCACTTCCTGAATTATGACCCTTGATTGAACAAAAAATCACGTTTTTAGCTTGTGGTCCTTGTAGAGGTAACAATTTTTATCTAATTTAAAAAAAATATATATCACCATTACACACTAAGATCTTGGATCCTTTTGATAATCGCAGATACCTGATTGTTTGAAAAGTCGCATTTTTAGCTTGCGAATTCTCTAGAGGTCACATTTTTTTTTTTCCAATTTTAAAAACCGTTTAAATATTTCACCATTCCACCATAATGAAGGTTGAATTTGAATTTCGGGAAAATCGAAATGAAACTGCCCAACAAAATGGCTGCTCTTTGTACGCAAATTGTGTAAAAGTATGCACTACGAAGGTTGTGGACCCTCTAGAGGTCACAATTTTTATCTGATTCTGATGAAACTTAAAAAACATATCTTTATATTCCAAAGATCTCAGTCCCTTTTGATATTTGCGCATTTCATACTATAACTTTCTGGATTATTGCCCCTGATTGTACAAAAAATTTCTTTTTTAGCAGGATATGTGGGCGTATCCTGCCTGGCAGCTGCTGGTTAAACCATTATACTGAGAATTGTCCACTCTTACAAAATGCATCTTTAAAATAGGTTTTAATTGAGGTAGAATAATGGAACCTTGATGTAGGTATCGGGTATTATTATTTGTATTTCGTTTTCCAGAAAATTTCTTTATTTAGACTATGGCTGTACGTTTTTGGTACCTACCACTGTTTTCTCGACAGTCATTGCCTTTGAAATATTTTTTATTGGAAGTTTTATTTTGCTGGTAAATAAATTATCTAGCTATCTGTACTTATCCTTAGCTTTTTAGGACCTACTCTTGTGTCAAAAGTTGTACATATATTTTTGATAGTACCTGTGTATGGATTTTAGATTCCATTCCAGCTTGTCCAGGGGAGATAAAATTAGTTTTGAATTTTTTAATTAATAAGATAAGATTTTATTGTATCTAAACACCCCATTAGAGTAGGCATGGCATGGTGAATTTAAGACTTACTTTATGATTATTTTTTATACGCCCACATTGAAATGTGGTTGTATATTGTCGTCGCCCCCGTCCGTCCGTCCGTCCGGTGTTCACAATTGCTTGTGGACGCTCTAGAGGCTAAAGTTAATATCCGATTGACGTTAAAGTTATGGCCCTTGATCACTTCAAAAAATCTTGTGGATGCTCTAGAGGCCAAAGTTTATATCCGATTAACGTTAAATTTATACACAGTGTTTAAGGTCATGAGACAAAAAGGCCTATTGATTTTCAAAATATCTTGTGGGTGCTCTAGAGGCTAAAGTTAATATCCGATTGACTTTAAATTTATAAACAGTGTTTAAGGTCATGAGATGCAGAAGCCTGTGTATTTTCAGCAATTTTTGATAATTAATGCCAGAGTTATGGCCCTTGATCACTTCAAAATATCTTGTGGATGCTCTAGAAGCTAAAGTTATCATCTGATTGACTTCAGATTGATACACAGAGTTTAAGGTCTTGAGACGAACAAGTATTTAAGTATATTGATTTTCAATGAATTTTGATAACTTGAACAGCTAAATCCATGATATTAAATGTTTCGTATACTAAACGTTAGCATGGGGCAGAACTTTATAAAAACCAAACAAATTCTAATGATTTTCTGATAATTACTTAATGAGTTGTTACTCTTAATCAGATTTTAATGTATTATAAATGTTTCATTACTGAAAAAAGTAAAAATATGCGACAACTCTTGTTGACTGCCCAGACAATTTAGCTGTTGTGGGCGTATGTTTCGTTGCCTGGCATCCTATCTTTATGCATGTTGTACGTTGGTTTAGTTGAGGCATAGGTTCTTTTATTTATTGTGTGGCTTTTGTGAATTGAACACCATAGCACCCATGCATAAGTGCATTTGCCTTTACGTCTAGTAGACTGTATATTTTTATCCTGGCTTATAGAAGGTGGTTATATGTTATACAAGAAAGTGTTTGTTATAATTACATAGTAAGAGACGACCACAAATCATCCAGAAACAATATAATTCCTGATACCCCAACCCATCCTCGGTCTCCCCAGTGGTCTCATTCCGTTCTACTCCACTGATACCTGGGTTCATCCATGGGGGAGACAAGTATTCAAATTATCTGCCCTTGATGATTGTGCTATTTTTATCAACCAATCAAAAAATTAGTTCAATACATAAGAACTGACTTAAAAACATCTTACCCATCGAAAAA